GCAACAATACTACAGCGAGAATAAAAGTTACGCTTTCTTTCTTTGCGTGAACATTTGGGCGGCGTTATGCAAATCTTCCCACATTGTGAAGTAGACATGTGGGGACGTGTTAGAACCAGCCGTTTTAGGTAGGCGTGGTTGACTCTTAACGTTAATAAAGAATATCTCTTTGAATTTGAGACTTTAGTCTTTGCAACTTTACAGATCTTCTTTATGCACCAAGAGCTTGTATCACTTCAAAGAGAACGGAAAAATTGAAATCGCATCATATGACCCCTTTAATAAGTGTGGAAAAATCCTCTCCCTTCTACCACGTGCTCTCTGTTCTCTGCAGTTGCCTCCTCCTAGCAACAATAATTGCAGCCATTTCAAGCGCAAAATAGTTTAAGACATGCTTGACATGATGATTTGGGAGTTAAATAATGGCGCAAATACCAGTAATTAGATGAGCGCAAACGTTAGTAAATCTCGATTAATTTGAATACTCTCCTCCCATAAGTTTTGCATCTGAAAGGGAAACTCCTAGAAATGCATATTCAATAAGGTCAGGCGCAAAAATAAGTGTCCACGCCTTTTCAGCGCTAATTCCTCACTGCGCGTCTTAAATCCTGACAGTGCTATTTTAACGCCAAAAGACGGTTTGCGCTGGCGCAAGCTGTTAGCAAAACTGGCCTTACTGTTAACTTTACATGGAGCAAATTCCACACACAGAAAACACTAGTAACACATACAGTTTATTCATACAGAAATGTGCACATTTTTGTATAAATGAACTGAATTTTGAACAAAAATATGAACTTCACATTTCTGGTTTAAACCAGAGCTTGCTCCATAGACATGCATTATAAGCATTACTATCCACATATTTTTTTACAAATTGAGGGGCTGGGCAAGTCAAACTAATTTTCTGTTGAGATGTTGTTGATAGAGCTTGTTTTGAATATTTCTTAAAATGTACATTGCGGAAATTCAGATTTTCTAATATATTACAAAGACTGCTGTCTCAGCTATAGCAGTCTAGAAACACAGCTCACTAGAGACCCTTACCGAGCTGTCAAGCTGCCTCTTCTGAGTCCTGCTGTGCTTGACTGTTTATCATGATATCACTGTTTATATTTCTATGTGGTGTGACCACAAAAATTTATAAAAGTCATGTGCGGCAGACCAAATGGCACAAGATCAAACAAACTCTAAGTCTAAGTAAGACTCTAATATGGCTTCTAACAAACAGACTGTCATTTAAGAGTACGCTCCTGTGAAGAAAAAAAACCACTAGGCATCCATTAGGCTTCACAAGTCACATTCAGACCACCTTCATTTACATAATGGTCTGGAACAAACACTGACTTCTTAAAAACTATTTCACATTATCTTAAAGGGAACTTTACACAATGAATCACACAGATCTGAATGAAATATAGCTTGAGCGATGCTGGCAAAAAACTTTATAGTCATAATTGGTACCAGAAAGAGTCCCCTTCTCCACAACTCTCGTGTCAAAAAAGCAGCCGGTTCAGCTTTCTACTGAAGAATAACGAGAGAGAATATTCAGTGTGTGATGGCCTTATACTGCCTCCAGTAAAGAGTGTGTTACTGGACTCTTAACTCCACAGAACTAATGCATGTTTCATCAAAGACACCTTGGCTTTGAGAGCAACACAAAATGAATTTGCATATGCAACACTGTGTCTAGTTTTAGCTGAGGAAGGAATCTGTATTTCTTTCCAAACTTGAAAAACACAGAGGTGTCAGTTTTGTTGTGTATTATTTCTAAACCAGTGATTAATACGCACACAATGCTTTTTGAGCATTACATTATTACCATCCAAAAGGATTTTATTCAGAAAGATGAATTAAATTGATCAAAAGTAACAGGAAAGACTTTGACATTGTTACAAAAATGTTCAATTTCAAATAAATGCTTTTATTTATTTATTTATTTATACTCATCAAAAATGCTGAAAAAAATGTAGCAAGGTGTAGCAGAACACTGCAGAACAGGTGTGACACTGAGGACTGGAGTAATGACTGCTGAAAATTCAGCTTTGCCATCACAGGAATAAATTACATTTTAAGATATTTGGAATATATATTTAAAAACAACAAAACATTTTACTAACCCCAAACATTTGAACAGTAGTGCATATAATCAGCAATATATCAGCAACTTTCCCTCTATATATCATTATCTGCATTAGCTATTTAAAAAGAAAAAAGAAAAGAAAAAATATATATTAACTGAATACCAAAGAATACCATTTATATCGGAGCTGAGATGCCTTACATACTGTGGTGAAATGGCTGTACCACTCAAGAGTAATTCACAACAATGTTCAGTACAACTACAAAAAGACGGAACCCAGACATTACAGAAAGCAAGTCAACACATACTGTATGTCACAGAGCCTTTCTTCTTGACCAAATTTGAGGAAGGAAAGAGGAGTCTAGAAATGTGTACACAACAGCCAAATGTTTGGACACTTGAGTCCATTTTTGCTTCCTGTGGTCTTAAAAACCTTTTGATCTAAAGGTGTATAAAGGTATATAAACATAGAAATTCCATTAATAATCTTTAAAAATCTACACATGGAAATTCAATCAATAATCTTTCAAAAGTATACCTAACTTGTAAATATAATTGTAAACAGTATATGTAATCTGTGTTATAGAACTTACTTGTGGCCGAGCTCATGTGCGATTGTAAATGCCAGGGTCAGGCCTGTGTCTTCATTGATGCTGCAGCTGCGGTGAGGTTGGCACATTCCAGCCACATGAGACAGTCCCAATGTCTCACAAGGCTTATTGATGGCAGCACAAATGTCTCTTCTGTGTCATAGAAAATGGTTAACACGTGTATTATATATATATATATATGTAAAGCAATGCAATTTTGGTTACAATTAGGCCATATGTACCTAGTAATGAGGACAGCCACATCATGATGGACTGGATGATCATCGTCCTTCATATTGATGCCTTTCTGCCACTTACAGAAGCTGTTCAGGCTGTTGTCTGCATGATGCGTAATTTTCAAATCCTCCTGATAACATAAATATTTAAATACATAAAATGGGAAAATTGTATGTAAAGTTTATATGTATGAAGTATGACATAATTATTGAGTTTAAAGAAGTATTACTACTTTATTATTAATTTGAAAGGCAAATAAAAACTTATTTATTTGAGCTTTTATTGAAGGTATCGTGTTGAGGAATGAGAATTTATGAAAGTAATGATTCAACTCTAAAATGCATTAACTTTTAGATGGTGGCAAACACTATAAATACAATACGGTGGTTACACACTGTAAACCACAATGCCAAAAAAAAAATCAAAGAGCTTTCCATATGTGACCCTGAATCACAAAACCAGTCATAAGTGTCCATTTTTAGAAATTGAGATTTATACATCATCTGAAAGCTGGATAAATAAGCTTGATGTATTGTTTGTTAGGATAGGGCAATATTTGGCCGAGATACAACTATTTGAAAATCTGGAATCTGAGGGTGCAAAAAATCTAAATATTGAGAAAAACATTGTTAAAATTGTCCAAATTAAGTTCTTAGCCATACATACTACTAATAAAAAATTTAGTTTTGATATATTTATGGCAGGAAATTTACTAAATATCTTCATGGAACATGATCTTTACTTAATATCCTAATGATTTTTGGCACAAAAGAAAAATCTATAATTTTGACCGGTACAATGTATTGTTTGGCTATTGCTACAAATATACCTGTGCTACTTATGACTGGTTTTGTGGTCCAGGGTCACATATTTGGTGATTTGTTGATTTTACAACCTCAGCTAGCCCAGTTTATAAATTGATAATCGTGTGCTTATTTTAAGGAGGCATATTTGAGCACATGGCATTTCAAACCAATCTTGGGTAGTTTTCCCAAAAGCACTGATAGCAAACTATTGTTTCAAGTTCTGTTATTACCAATATAGTTCAATGATTCAGTGTTTACTGAAACATCTCGGTTAGGTATACGTTCCCTTTCAGTCGGTCACTCTCGACGTCACGTCGGATGACCGTCGAATTGGGATCCCTACCAAAGGACCACAGGTACTGCCCCTTCCAGTGTCCTGTGGAAGCCTCCTGTGCCCCTACTTTTTGGCATAGGCCAGGCCTTACCACAAGGAGACCAGCTACTGCTGCTATGGCACTACCCACTCAGTAAGACTGGATAACACTGGGAAAACGTACCCCGGAGGGCAGGACCTCGTACTGATATGCTCGTCCTTCGGACGCGAACCGCAGCAATGGTCTGTGGTACGGAAGGATCGACACATAAAAAGTATGTGTCTCTGCTGAACTTGGGGGGCGCCGGGCAAACTGAATCGCATAGCCGAGTCTGATGGATCGCAGGAACCAGCGAGATGATATGAGTAGCCAGGTACCCTGACACCACACAAGCTGGACCAGTAGGACCACCGACATACCCGCGGTGGGGCAGCGAGGTGGAACGCAGGGACCTGAGTGTGCAGTGCAACACTTACCTGGTTCCACGGTTTGGCAGAGTGTGCGTGAGTAGGGCCTTTGACGACGCTCTCGAACCGCCCGCTGCTGCCTGCTGGCGAGAGAGGAGGATGAGTGTGGT